GCCCCCAAGGGGACTGTGAGGGGACTGCAGTTCCCCCCGTTGCCCCCGGGGGTGTGGGGGGGCTGCAGTTCCCCCCGTTGCCCCCAGGGGGTGTGAGGGGACTGCAGTTCCCCCCGTTGCCCCCAGGGGGTGTGAGGGGACTGCAGTTCCCCCCGTTGCCCCCAGGGGGTGTGAGGTGGCTGCATTTCCCCCCCGTTGCCCCCAAGGGGACTGTGAGGGGGCTGCAGTTCCCCACATTGCCCCCAGGGGGAGTGAGGTGGTTGCAGTTCCCCCCCGTTGCCCCTAGGCGGGGCTGAGGGTCCCGGGCGGGCGGGGAATTTCCAGCCGGGGAGCACTGGGCCCCGGGAAGAGGAGAGAGTTTGCCGGGTGTATGGAGTGGTGAGTGGCGGTGTAGAGCCGGTGGATTGTGAGTTGGGAATACATTGTAACTTGTGTCTGATAGTTTGTAGCTGGAGGTTGCTACTTTGTAGTTGCTGGAGGATTCGCTTTGACGGTGAGTAAAACCCAGTGAATGGTTCGCTCCTCACTCCGTCAGAGTGACAGCTCCGTTAACCTACCCTTCTCCCTCACTCCCAATCCGCCTCGACATCTGCTTCAGTGCTGAGCGGCCGCCGACACCAGCGGAAGGCCCGAGTTTCCGCCTGAGGCTCTCCCTCAATCCCTCACTTTCCTTATCCTCTGTCAATCCCTCATCTCAATTCCTCCTCCTACTTCAATTCCCTCCCTTAATGCCTCACCCCCCCCCCTTTCTCACTGCCCTCTCACCTCTTAAATCCCTTTTTCTCAGTGTTTGAAAGGTGACTGTCTCTCCTTGTCTTTCAAGCAGACTCTCAGGCTGTTTAATGTGCTGATGATGAGTAGCGTTGTGTTGTGTTGTGTTGATGTTCATTCGTAAAACCATAAGAAGCAGGACCAGAAGTCGGCCACTCTGTCCATCGAGCCTAATCTGTCCTTCAGTGAGACCAGGCTGACCTGCTAATCCTCAACTCCACTTCCTGCCTTTTCCCCATAACCCTTCGTTCTCTTACTGATTAAAAATCTTGTCTGGCATTGCCTGAAAGGGTGGTAAAGGCAGAAACCCTCATAACATTTAAGAAATATTTTGATGTGCACTTGTGATGCCAAGACAGACGAGGTTCTGGGCCAAATGCTGAAAATGGGATTAAAGTAGGTTATTTGACCAGTACAGATTCCATGGACCAAAAGGCCTTGTTTTGTTCTGTAGGTCTCTATGACTGTGTGATTGTAAGGTCACCTCACATTCTACTAAATGCCAGTGAGTACAGGCCTAACCTACTCAACCTCTTCCCCATCAGACAGTTCCCCACCCCCCAAATATCTGGGATCAATCAAATGAACCTTCCCTGGATTGCCTCCAATACTAGTATATCTTTACTTCGATAAGGGCTCCAAAATGGTTCATTGTATTCCAGCTTTTGTAACTAAAGACAAAAGGTTCAGAGAGCTGAAGGGCAGGTAAGTTATAGCTGGCAGGTGAAATCTGTAGGTTTCTTAATGTTGGGCTGAGTTAATTATTTGATCAGGGCAGTGTGAAGGTGCTGATTCTGAAAGGTGTATTCTTGTTATGATGCTGTTCTTTAGTGTCTTAAAGCGTGGTGATATTTCACTGTTTCATTCATCACAACCCATGTGAAGATGAAGAAGTGAAAGTGAGTGTTGGATTAACAGGGGAGATTCTTGTTAATGCCAAATTGTGGAATAGGTAATATTTCCAAATAAGTTGGTTCTAATGGTGTAATTTTTAGAAATTAGGTTTTTTTGTGGATTACTTGATGCTTGTTCAAGGATATGCTATGAATGATATTGAGGCTAATTAAAATGGTTGAGAAATAAGCACATGTACTTCAAAGTAAAACAGTTGTTTATTGTAATATATAGAGTTTTCAGGTTGTGTAGCATCAGGGTGGTGTGAGTGTGTGTGTGAGTGTGAGAGAGAGAATGCCCTATCTCTCAGAGTTGGTGGTCACTGGGTAAGATGTTCAGGAGTGATGTCAGGCAGCACTTTGTCACTCAAAGGGAAAAAGTATCCCACAAAGAGCTGATCAAGATCGGAGTCAGTCACAAATTTCAAAACAGCGATCAATAGATATTTATTAGATAGGAGATTAAAATTATGAAACACAGAATAAATAGTACCTTTGTAATAAAACGTCCCAAGTTCTTCACAGGAGTATTGTAAAGCAGAATTTGACAGCTAACCACATGGGGAGGTATTAGGTCAGGTTACGGAAAACTTGGTCAAGGAGGTGGGTTTTGAGAAGTATCTGGTGGAAGGTGGAAAATGAGACAGTGCTGAGAGTTTAAGGAGGGCATTCCAGAGCATATGGTCCAGAGCATATGGTCCAGGCATTTGAAGGCATGGCCACCAATGAAAGAGCGACTAAAACTGGGAATGTTCAAGAGACTAGAATTAGAGAAGTGCAGCTATCTCTGAGGGGTGTGGGGTTGGAGGAGGTTACAGAAATTGGGAGGAGATGAGGCCGTTAGGGATCTGGAAACAAGAATGATATTTTAAAATAAAGATGTTGCTTAATCTGGGGCCAGTTTGTCAGCGAGCCAAGGGGTGATAAGGAACAGGACCCACTGAGAGTTATCACATGAACAGCAGAGTTTTGGATGGCCTCAAGGTCACAGAGAGGGTAGAATGTGGGGACCAATGAGAAGTGTATTGGAGTAGCTAAGTAAGTCTAGAGGTGATTATTTAAAAATGAGGGATTCATGAATGATGAGCTGAGACAGGGTGAAGTTGAGGGATGTTACTGGGCTGGTAGTAAGTGGTCTTAGTGATCGTGCAAAGTAAGAGGTCAAAATCAGGATTTTATGAAAAACCACGGCTGTGACTGACAGGGTGAGAGAGGCGTTGGTCATTAGGGAACATTGTTGGAGCGGGAACTAGAACCAATGACTTCCCAATATTTAATTGAAGGGAATTTCTGCTCATCCAGTTCTGGATGTTAACTCAGTAGTCTGACAGTTTAGAGAGAGTGGAAAAATTGAGAGAGCTGATGGTGAGGTCAAGCTGGGGTTGTCGGAGAACACGTGAGAATGAACACTGTACTTTTACGTGATGTCACTGAGGAGCAGCATGTAAATGGGAAATTGGATGAGGCCAATGATTGACCCAAAGTAGGTTAATACCAGCTTGTAAAATAGGAGCAAGAATAGGTCATTCAGCCCCTTAAACCTGCTTCAACATTCAACAAGATCATGATTGATCTGTTTGTGCTGTGAGTTTCACATTTCCCCAATACCATAGATTCTTGTCAGGCAGGGGAATCGGTCTAACTATGCCTTAAAAATATTCAATGATGCATTGCCTTCCAAAGTCATCCCTTTGAGAGAGAACAAAATTTCTCATCTCTGTTTTAAAAGGGTGACCCCTTCTTTTAAAACCGTGCTCCCTAGTTCTGATCTGACCTACAAGAGGAAACATCTTGTCCGCATCCACCTTGTCAACGCCATCCAGGATCTTACACACTTCAATCAGGTCACTCCTCACTCTTCTGAACTCTAGTGGAAACAAACCCAATCTGTCCAACCTATCCTCAAAAGAAAATCCGCTCATTCTCGGTGGCAATCTAAATAAATTCCTCCTCTGAACCACCTGTAATGGAAAACTTGGAAGGAGACCATAAAACATGGTGAAGAGGAGATTCAGATTGCCCATTATCTGGCCAGTTGGTGAGACAGGCCTGAGTGGTGGAATAGTCTCTTCCTGATCTGAATAATGAGTCTGTAATGTCGCTCAGTTTGTTCTGAGATGTTTTATCAATGACAGTGTTAGACCACACCAGTTGAATCTGCTGGTCAGGTTTATCTTTCAGGTCTTTGCTCAGTCAGTGACATCATAAAATATAGGCAGAAATACCAGAGATGAATATTTGTTGAGGGAACCTTTGGAGCTGTGTATCTCCTTTGTTAGTTTTAGGTTACAGATCAAAAACAGGTATGTATTACAGGAGTGGAAAGTGAGGAACCAATTTCAATAAGTTGTAAGAATTTCACAAAACTAAAGTCATCAGATATTAAATAAAAACCGAAAGAACTGCAGATGCTGTAAATCAGGAACAAATTCCAGCAACTTCTGTTTTTGTTTCATCATATATTAAACCTGCAGGTAAATTTTAAAGATCCCACAGGTTTATTTTGAAGAAGAGTGATGGTGGGGTTGGGGTGGTGTGGGTGAGGGGTTGGTTACCTTCAGCTCTGATCGAAAATGATGCTACACCCAACACTGATTAAAAAAGTGATCTGCTGATTCCTGCATTGCTGTGCGTGGGATCTTGCAGTGTGAAGATTGGTGGCTTTATCCCTGCATTATAACAATGATTATGCTGACAAAATGTTCTTTGTTGGGTGTTAAAGCACTTTGATAAGTCCTGAGATTAATGAAGGCACTATACAAGTGCAGGTTGGCCTTGTTAAATATTTGTAGCAGTGATGGACAGGGGGTAATTTGTGATGATCCATTACTCCCCACAGGAAGAATGAATAGAGCCCAATTGTATATTTCCTGTTCAAACTCAAAACCAGTTGTTACAATTGTTTCTCTATTAAACTACATAATATTTTTCTGTATGAGAAAGTATTTAATTTTGAAAAGAAACTGTTACTTGTGGCACATTCACTACCCATTTCTTCAGAATTTTAGTTTTGTGTAAAGGGATATTTCATGTCAGAGCTTAGTCATATCCAGGAAGTATCCAGTGCAGCAACAGGAGGAAAGTGTAAAAGTACTGCAGACATACAGTTGGCTTAGAACGAAGATGCTGACATTACTTCCTGGATGTGTTACCGAGGCATTTCCCATCCCCAACACGTGGATGTGGTATATCTGATTAAAGCAAACAGCCTACCCACGCAGAAGGAGATGGACTGTTTTCCAGATCAGCAGAGACTCTGGTGACAAAACAATGAGGCCCCAGCACTCGGAGTGGGTTGCTGCATAGCTTGACTGCACAGTGCTGTGACAGAGAAGGGGTTCAAATGAGCAGACAAATTAGGGGCAGCAGTAGGTCACTTGGCATCTTGAACCCTCTCTGCCATTCAATGTGATCATGTCTGATCTGATTACTCCATGTTTCCATCTACACACCACCCTCCTGATAGACTTTCACCCACATGCTCATCAAGAAATTAAAATGAGTTGACACCGGATGAGATTCTTGTTCCAGTTCCTCTGAGTTACCATTATGTAGTCAGAGTTTATGCTGATGAACTCAGCTTAAAGTTACTTTTAAACAAAGACTGGAGACAATAAGGAAGAGCAATAAATACTGGCCTTGCCAGTTATGCCCATATCCCGTGAAGAGATTTTAAGTGTCATTCATTATCTCTTGTGATTTCAGTGATCAGCTGCACCTACTTTTATTACCTTCAGCCAGAGGTGGGAATCTGCTGTGGTGTTTTCTTATTCAGCGTGGGAGGTCAGTGGGCAGTTTACTGACCAGTCCACTCGTGAATCACTGGGGCTGAGCTCACCTGAGAGGGGAAAACCATGTCATGGTCAAGGTCAAGGTCAAGGTCAGTCAGTGCCTTCAGTACAGAAACTCCTTCATCTTGAATTCCCATCCACAGGTCAGTTAGACTCTTCACTGGTGGTAATCCTGTCAATCCTCACAGAGGGAGCATTCTGCAAATCTGGCCCAATGTTCCCAGAGTTGCCACTAAAGTTAAAAATATTATCAAAGTATGCAAAATTCCCCAATTTGTCTGTTGCCTCAGACCCAGGATAACCAAATACACAGACCAGATTTCTGTACTTAAGAGCTACTATTTTTTTTTTTTACAAATAAAAACAATGTAACCACAGGTAAACAATTAAAAACAGTAAACATAAACTCCAGTTTCTCCAGCATCTCATTTTCCACTTGGGGACTCTGCAGACTTCAAGACTCAATATTGAGTTCAATAATTTTAGGGCCTGAACAGTTACTTTCCCATTTCAGTCCATAATTAAAAATACGGAAAAGTAAAAAATATATGGGTTCTTGCAATCCATTGAACACATCTTCCCAAGGGCAGCTCATTAGTGGTGGAATTTCTCCTAGAAAATCAATTATTTATATTTACTCTTGGTACATGGGTGCTGTTAACCGGGGCCAACATTTATTGCCCATTCCTAGTTATCCTTGAGAAGGTGGTGGTGAGCTGACTTCTTCAACTGCTGCAGTCCACCTGCTGTGAATACATCTACAATGCCATTTGGGAGGGAATTCCAGGATTTTGACCCGGTGACAGTGAAGGAACGGTGATATATTACCAAGTCAGGATGGAGAGTGACTTGTAGGGGAACTTGGAGGTTATGGTGTTCCCGTGCATCTGCTGCCCTTTTCCTTCAAGTGGTCGTGGGTTTGGAAAGTGCTGTTTGAGGATGTTTGGTGAATTTTTGCAGTATATCTTGTAGATAGTACACACTGCTGCTACTGAGCATTGGTGATGGTGATTGGTGAGCATGTGGATGTGGTGCCAATCAAGCGGGCTGCTTTGTCCTGGATGGTGTCGAGCTTCTTGAGTGTTGTTGGAGCTGCACCCATCCAGGCAAGTGGGGAGTATTCCATCGCACTCCTGACTTGTGCCTTGCAGATGGTGGACAGGCTTTGGGGAGTCAGGAGGTGAGTTACTCACCACAGTATTTGTAGCCTCTGACCTGCTGTTGTAGTTACTGCATGTATATGGCTAGTCTAGTTCACCTTCTGGTCAATGGTAACCCTAAAGATGTTGATAGTGGGGGATTCAGTGATAGTAACAGCATTGAATGTCAAGGGGCAGTGGTTAGACTGTCTCTTATTGGTGATGGTCATTGCCTGGCATTTGTGTGGTGCAAATGTTACTTGTCACTTGTCAGCCCAAGCCTGGATATTGTCCAGATCTTGTTGCATTTGAACATGGACTGCTTCAGTATCTGAGGAGTCCTGAATAGAGCTGAACATTGTGCAATCATTGGTGAGCATCCCCACTTCTGATCTAATGATGGAAGGAAGATCATTGAACAGGTGAAGATGGTTAGGCTTAGGACACTACCCTCAGAAACCCCTGCTGAGATGTCTGACCTCCAACAAGCACGAGCATCTTCCTATGTGTCAGGTATGACTCGAACCACCAAAGAGTTTGCCCCCGGTGCCCATTAATTCCAGTTTTGCCGGGGCTCCTTCATTGTCACGCTGTCAAGGGCTGTCACTCTGATCTCACATCAGGAATTCAACTCTTTTGTCCATGTTTGAACCAAGGCTGTATCGAGGTCAGGAGCTGAGTGGCCCTGACGGAACCAAAACTGGGTGTCACTGAGCAGGTTATTGCTAAGTAGATGCTGTTTGATAGCACTGTTGATGACACCTTCCATCACTTTACTGATGATCAAGATTCTAACGAAGGGGCAGTAATTGGCCGGGTTGGATTTGCCCTGCTTTTTATGTACAGGACATACCTGAGCAACTTCCCACATTATCAGGTAGATACCAGTGTTGTAACTGTACTGGAAGGGATTGGTGAGGTGAGTGGCAACTTCTGGAGCACAAGCCTTCAGTACTATTGCGGAAACGTCATCAGGGCCCTTTGCAGTATCCAGTGTCTCCAGCCATTTCTTAATGTCAAGTAGAGTGAATCGAATTGACAGAAGGCTGGTATCTGTGATGCTGGGGACCACTGGAAGAGACCGCGATGTATCATCCATATGGTATTTCTGGCTGAAGGTTGCTGCGAATGCTTCAGCCTTATCTTTTGCACTGTTGTGCTGGGCTCTTCTATCATTGATATTTGTGGAGCTGCCTCCTCCAGTGAGTTATTTAATTGTCCACCACCATTCATGGCAAAGAGTTTGAGTCCGTGATCGCAGCCAATGTTGAACTGAGAGAGCGCTACAGCATCAGAGCACCACCTTTCAGGCAAAATGTTTAAATAAGGCCTTGTCTGCTCCCTCAGCAGGATGTAAAATATCCCATGCCACTGTTTTGAAGAAGAGGTGGAAGTTCTCCTCATGGCCTGAAGCCAATGTTTATCCCTCAAAGACATCACAAAACCAATGACCTGATTATTATCAAAGTGCTGTTTCTGGGATCTTGCTGTCCACACATTGGGTGCTGATTTTCCAGCATTACAACAGTGACAACACCTCTAAAATACTTCATTATTTGTGAAGGTTTTTGAGATGTGCTGAGGGTCCCCACCCTCCTTGCCTGCCCCTGCTCCCCCATGCACCCTTCCCCTGCCCCCCAGCTTCCTGCTGCCTGCCAGCCCATACTGTAGTCATGCTGAGAGTCTAAGCCCAGCTGAATGAGCATGATTGAGGTTGTTTCTCACTTACTTTGAGTATTTATTTCCTGTTGTAAACAACCCCTCAATGACCAAAAGACCCAGAGCTGCCTACTCCTGGATCCTGGATGGAGAAATCTAATCGGACATTGCCATATTGGTTGGTTTAATTCATGCTCCCATGTTTTTATGTGAATACAAGTTCGATTCCGAAATGGCAACATAAACACTGCCCATCCCAGATTATTGAAATCCCCAAAAATTTGCTTCTGATTGATCCAGAAGCAACTTTCCCACCATAAATTTAAAATGCATTGAACCATCTTTCCATGGATAAACCTGTGGTGTCAGTTGTTAATGAGAGAAGGTTTGTGCTTATGCAAATCCTTTTACAAACTGAGATGTCTCAAAATGCTCTACTGCCAATTTATAGATTTGAAGGGCATTCACTGTTATAATGTAGGAAGTGTCACAGCCAATTTGTACACAGTAAGATCTCAGATGCAGCAATATAATTTTTCTTTGGAGGGATAAATATTGGTCAGGACATGAGATTCCCCTGCTCCTCTTTTAACAGCACCATAGGATCTTTTATATTCCCCTGGGGGCTCAGGCAGGGCCTTGGTTAAACATCTCTTTTGAAAGATTCCTGGGTAAGGTCTGTACTGACTAAAGTGTAATGAGATTTTTGCAACTGAATCCCAGGACCCAGGTGAATTAACACCAGAGCCTAATCTGTAGGACGGTGGGTTAGGTACAGGGTGGTGCAAGAAATTGGATAGTATTTTTGGTATGATGGCTTGAATGGTCTTTTCCTGGAATATAAAATTCTAACTGCAGATGCAAAACAGAACCAGTTTACACAAATTCTGCAAATATTAAATAAATCTACCCTGGAATTCACATACTTTGGGGAAATATTAATAAACTATAAGGTATTCATTACTTGGTATTGGCTAATATTGACAATCAAGTTGAAATTTCTGATTTCCCAATTTTATTAAATTCCTTTAAACTAGCTGTGATTTGAAACCACCAATGTGAGTTCTTGACTTGAAGGGTTCACCTTTCTTGAACATTCAGAATTTCCCCAATACTTCACTGTTTTAGATTTAATTAAATTGATTTCAAATTACCTGGATACAGAGAAGCTGTTTGGTTCTGAACCAGAGTTTGAGGACATCTAGGGAAATAAGATTTCAGATTATCCGCAGGAGATTTAACCAGGAAGTTAAGAGTTTGTTGGAAAGTGAAATATTCCATTGCAAATACCTGTGATGCAAAGTGTCTAATATCATTTAAAAGCAATATTTCAAAAGGGAAGAAGGTAAAAAAAAATTACGAAAAGATCAAGAACGTTAAATTAAACATCCCCAGTTGATGTGTTAAGATTTCCAGACAAAGGGTGAATAGATTCCACCTGTGCTGTAATTTCAATAACTATCGAGAGAGAATCTTAAATCAGTCCCTGATATAACACCACAGATCACCAAGACAACAGTGCAGTTTGTTCATCCAATTATTAAATTGTATCCCTTAGTAACTCACTTTTATTTTATTTCATTGGATCTGGGAGCCACAGACAAGGCCAGCATTTATTGCCTATACCTAGTTGCCCTTGAAAAGGTGGTAGTGAGCTGCCTTCTTGAACTGCTGCAGTCTTTGTACAACCAGAGATTCCAGTCTATGCCAATGAGTGTGATCCATAGCTTCTAAATGTTGGTCTAATTATATTGTAACCAATCAAAGTCTATACTGTTCGTAGTTACGTGGGAGGATGTGTTGTCAGAAGTCTGTTGGAGTAATAAGCTTCCTTATTGAGTGAATGCAAAGTGTTAAGTGTGTAACCTGTTATGAGTTAGTCAGAGATTAAATTGAAACTTTATCAGAAGGATAAAATCTGAGCCATTTGATAACTGGAAGACTGGTTACAGTCTGGTCATTTCCAATAGAAGGAGTACAGAAGTAATATACCACTTTATTGCCTGAACTGATAATTTTAGGTATGGGAAAATACTGAATAGCTGGAGGTGTTTATTTTGGAATGTGGAGACTGAAGGGAGATCTAATGGAGGTGTTGAAAATTAAGAGGGATTTTGATACATTGGGTGGGAAGGTACTATTCCCTGTGGTTGAGGGGTTCATAACTAGGGACATCAGTTTAGGGTTAGAGATGGTGGTATGGAGAGAACATGAGGAAATGTTCTTACCCAGACATGGACCGTATCCTTTTAAAATGTAAAATAAATTTGAATTTACGCTTGAAGTACTGTGATCTGCAGAACAGCCATGTAATAAAACCAGCAGCTCTAATTACCAAGGATAACTCATTGAGATTGTCCCAATCATCAGAAGTGCTTTGTGTTATTTTCATACTACTGATTGCTTCAGACAAACCAATTAGAAAAGCAAAACCAATCCTGTTTCATTGCCAGAGCACCCGCATGCATACGCAGCTTAGAAATGCATGACTCATATACACATCCATTCAGATTTTTTTAGAATCACATTCCATGTGAAAATTTATGATGAAAAGAACTTGCATTTCCATTATTGCATCTCTCAGAAATGTCCCAACATATTTACATATAAATACTTTCAGTTTTAGACTCAGTTATGTCAGTAAATATTATAAGTAATTTGCATGCAAAAACTGACCAAATACATTGAATTAGTACAACGAAGAACTGCAGATGCTGAAGATCTGAAACAAAAATGGAAATTGCTGGAGAAACTCAGCAGGTCTGGCAGCATCTGTGGAGAGAAACAGAGCCAACACTTTGAGTTCAGTGACCCTTGTTCAGAACTGGTATTGTTAGGAAGAGTCAGTATAAATGCTGAAGACAGGTGGGGCGGAGATTGAGCGCAGAGAAAGAGAATGACAGTTAGTCAAATAAAGGGATGGATGGTAGTAACCCAGGGAGAAAGAAAAGCTGATTAATGGGGACCTTGAGTGGGAGAAAGTGGGTTGTCTGTGCTGAAAGCAGCCCACGTCAATGATAGGCTTGGAATGTGGAGGTGGGTAAAGGATATAAAAGGGGAAATTATCGAACTCCATATTGAATCCTGAAGGCTGCAGGGTCCCCAAGTGGAAAATGAGAACAGCATCTTCCAGTTTATGCTGAGCTTTGCTAGACCTGCAGCAAGCCTGAAATGGAGATGTTGGCCAGAGAATAGGGTGATGTACTGAAGTGGCAGGTAACTGAAAGCTCAGGGTCATTTTTGCAGACAGGATGTACATGTTCTGCAAAATGGTCACACAGTCAGCATTTAATTTTCCCAGTATAGAGGAGATCACATAGTGAGCAGCGAATGCACCAGACTAGATTGAGTGAAGTGCTGGTAAAGGATGCCTGAGACCTTAGATACTGAGAAGGGAGGAAGCAAACGGGCAGGTTTTATACCTTTGGCAATTGCAGGGAAAGGTACAGGGGGGCTGTGGGGATGTGCTGGGAGTGCAGCACTCCTGCAGCCCTGACCCTCTGACTGTGTGGCACTCCCTCAGCACTGTCTCCTGGCTCAGAGGTAGGGACACTACCATGGCACCACAGGAACCCCTGGTGCTATAAAATATACTGTTTGCTGTGTATGTCATTAGTCCCCTAACCTCCACCTGATTTGCTGGTATTGGTGTTAATAAATACTAGTGTAAGCTCATCATGACCTCTCAGTTGGAGGATTCAATCTCCTCAACATTATTATCCATCCATAAAACATAGGAGCAGAAATTAGGCCATTTGGCCCATCAGTCTGCTCTGCCATTCAATCATGGCTGATAAGTTTCTCAACCCCATTCTCCCATTTTCTTCCCATAATCTCTGATCCCTTTGACAATCAAGAACCTATCTTTCTCTGTCTTTAATATTATCAATGTCCTGACCTCCACAGCCTTCTTTGGCAGTGAATTCCATAGACTCGCCACTCTCTGACTGAAGAAGTTTCTCCTCAACTTTGTTCTAAAAGGTCTTCCCTTTACTCTAAGACTGTGTTGTCCGGTCCTAGTCACTCCTACCACTGGAGGCGTCTTCCCAATATTCACTGTGTCCAGGTCTTTCAGTATTCTGTAAGTTTCAATTAGATCCCCCCTCAACCTTCTAAACTCCATTGAGTATAGACCCAGAGTTCTCAAACGTTCCTCATATGTTAAGCCTTTGATTCCTCGGATCATTCTTGTGAACGTCCTCTGGACCTGCTCCAGGGCCAATGCATCCTTCTTGAGATATTGGGCCTAAAATTGCATACAATATTCTAAGTGTGGTCGGACCAGAGACTTTTAAAGCCTCAGAAGTACATCTCTGGTTTTATATTCTAGTTCTCTGGAAATAAATGCCAACATTGTATTTGCCTTCCTAACTGCTGACTCAACCTCAAGTTAACCTTCAGAAGATCCTGGACAAGGACTCCCAAGTCCCTTTGCACTTCAGATTTCTGAATTTTCTCTCCATTTAAAAAAACAGTCCATGCCTCTATACTTCCTACCAAAGTGCATGACCTCACACTTTCCCACATTGTATTTCCATCTGCCACTTCTTTGCCCACTCTCCTAACCTGTCTAAATCCTTCTGCAGCCTTCCTACCTCCTCAATCCTACCTGTCCCTCCACCTATCTTTGTGTCATCTGCAAACTTAGTCAAAATGCCCCCTGTTCCTTCATCTAGATCTTGAATGTATAATGTATATGGGGGAGGCAATGGCCTAGTGGTATTATCGCTAGACTGTTAATCCAGAGACCCACATAACGTTCTGGGGACCCGGGTTCGAATCCCACTATGGCAGGTGGTGGAATTTGAATTCAATAAATATGTGGAATTAAGAATCTAATGATGACTGTGAATCCATTGTCGATTATCGGAAAAACCCATCTGGTTCACTAATGCCCTTTGGGGAAGGAAACTGCCATTCTTACCTGGTCTGGCCTAAATGTGACTCCAGACCCACAGCAATGTGGTTGACTCATAGCTGCCCTCTGGGCAATTAGGGATGGACAATAAATGCTGCCCAGCCAGCGATGCCTTCATCCCGTGAATAAAGACAAAAAAAAACTAGTCATCAGCTGCCATCTTGAGAAGGACCCTTTTATTCCCACTCTCTGCTTTCTGCCAGACAGCCAGTGACAACCCTGACCAATTGTACTCAGCAAATGATGAGCTTCTTTATTGCTTTTCCCCATGACAGCAACGGATTATCGTTTGTCTGAACTAAAACAAGTTCCTATTTCTCTGGAAGATAATTTATTTCTCTGGAATGAGACAATTGCCCTGATGTACTTTAGCAGCACTGCCCACTGCACTGAGGAAAGGTCATAGTGGAACCTTGAATCCTGCCAAGCACTTGATTGCATTGGGGCAATTCTTTTGTTTAAAAGTTTGGTGGCAAGTACACAGTGTTGTTAGCAAAACTGATCATTCCAAACTCTCCCATTTTCTCTCCTATTCCTGCTGGAAATGCAGATGCAGAGCACCATCCAGCATTAACCTCTAACACCTTTCGAGAGTGTGAACACACTTCCCAATCCATGATGTATTCACAGTTAAACCAGTTCTAGCCACTACCCGATGTTGTATTCTCTGAATCTGGTAATTGCTATTTAACGGGTCATGATCTCATTACTATTTGTGGGAGCTTGCTGTGCAGAAGTATCTGTCACATTTCCAACATTACATCAGTGACTACTTACTTGAAAATCCTGAGGTTGTACAAACTGCTATTGAAATGCGTGTTTTTTTTACTTTAGTAACTTTGAATCAAAAACAGAAATTGCTGGAGAAACTCAGCAGGTCTGACAACATGAAGAACAGTTACTGGATCTTAGTAGTAACTCTGCTTTATGTCCGCAGATGCTGCCAGACCTGCTGAGTTTCTCCAGCAATTTCTGTTTTTGTTTCAGATTTCTAGCATCCACAGTTCTTTGTTTTTATTAGTTGATAACATTTGTTACTTGTGTGCATTAGAGTTCGTGAAAACTTCTGTTTAGAATCCTAAACCTGATTAAAATTAAAATTTAAAGCAACCACAAACCAGGATTTTTTTGTTTCCTATCCTAGACCAATGATGGCTGAAGAGGACACGTATCGTCTTGGAGTCCCTGATGTAAGTGGGACTAATATTTCTGTTTGAATCAAGTTTTTGTAAAAACTGACCTGCACTATGATTAATTACAAATCTCTGGGGTGAATATCAATACTCATTTGCACATATATTAAATGTATTATTTGTTACTGGTTGAAAACAGTTGCTCAAAGTTATGCAAAACAGTGAGAAATTGTTTCCAGTGGCAGGAGGACCAGTCATCAGAGAAGAGACATTGACGATGTTTGGTTAATGAAGCAGAGAGAAGATGGGAAGAAATGTAAACACACAGCCAGTTTTTGTGATCTAGAATGCTCTGCCTGAAAGGGCAGTGGAAATAGATTGGCAAAGACTTTTGAAAGGGAATTGGAGAAATACTTTAAAGAAGAATGCTTTGCAAGATTCTGGGGTAGAGCAGGTGGTAGTAGGAGTAATGGTGGGCTGAATGGTCTCTGGTGTTCCAAACTCTGCTGTCAACAACTGGATTTGAGAAACAAACTATAAACTAAAATAATACAATTCTGAATAATTTAAAAGATATCAAATAACTGAGTGTTGTCATGATTTAGAATCTCCCCAATCTCCCCTTTCACCTCAGAACAGAATCAACTCAGGTTGATGCCCTTAGAATCTCCAGAGCAGGATGCAATGCCTCTGCATTGAACGACTTTGTGGCGTTTGATCACAGCTCCTCAATAGCACCCACTACAGTGAAAAAATATTGCTCTAATTCATTTCAAAAGTTCAGTCTTGCTTATTGTTGACTGCTGTAAAACATCAAACTGAGGCACTGGAAAGATGATCAGCCAGCGCAGTAATGCCTATGGCTCTCTCCATGGATCTGAGATGGTAAGAGTTTAATTTCCCCAATTGCTATCTCTCACTTTGATAAGTACAGAACCTGACATAATATTAACTTTAAATCATAAACATTTCATATTTCTGCTGTGCTTTTGTGGTAAATGTGGTTATGAAGCTGTCAGCACAGCACACCAGTGAAGAAGTCAAATGTTATGATAAACAAATATTGCTGAAGGGTTGTCACAAATATTTAAAAAGTGATAGTAGTTGTATGGTTATTATATAATATAGTAGATCATTTTAATTATCGATTTATTTAGATCCCACCAACATGTTATAATTATGTCACTCCCTTAACAAAATATCCCAAGGTGCACAGCAGGGCACAGGCATCTGGGGAAGTGGCTGCTGAGCCTGTAGTGAAGGCACCAACAGTCGAGAAGCCGAGGTCTCGTTGGCCTTGATGATCAGCAACAGCATGGGGGTTAAGGTGCTCTGTTACCTGCCTGTTCAGCCACATTACATGGATGGAGGCAGAGCTGGCAGGTCATTGTGAATTATGCATTGGTGAGATTCCCAATTAATATGACCAGCTGTGGGTGAAATGGGTCGTCTATTTAAGTCGAGCAAAAGTTGGGCAAGTATGAAAACACTGTAAAGGATTATGGGAAAGTTCGAGAAGGAATGCTATTGGATGAAGAAAGACTGAGGCTAGTGAGAGAAAGTGGCTGAGAGAGCATTCAGTCCACACTTAAGCACCCTTTGTGTGAAGAAGTGCTGTTTTGCTTTGACTTTGAAAGGACTGGGTAATGGTGAGATTCTGGAAAGAGTGCCCCTTGGTTCCATTCCAGGTTTTTGGCTGTTGTTAATAGAGATTTTAGTCTAGTTGCTGGTTAGGGTATACCTGACCCAGGAAAGGTCACTGTTGGTTGAACACATCGTTGGAGCCAGCCAAGAATATAAGAATTAGGAACAGGACTGTTGGCTCATCCTCTCAACAAAGTTATGGTGAATCTGATTTGCTGCATATGCCCAACTATCCTCAGTAATGATTCACCCATTTACTTAACAATCTATCTACCTCTGCTTCCATCACCTTTTGAAGAAGAGAGTTCCATAGTCTAGTGACCCTCTGTGAGGAAACAAAATTGTCCTGATCTCTATCTAAAATACATGACAGCTTACTTTGAAATAGTGAGCTCTCGTACTAGATCCTCCCATATGGGAAGGAACTTTCTCTTATCTACCCTGTCAAGGCACCTCAGGATCTCGTATATTTCAATGAAGTCATTTCTTACTGTTCTAAACTCCAGAGGATATAAGGCCAGCTGTCCAACCTTTCCTCATAAGACAACCCATACGTTCCAAATGTTGGCATGGCAAACATTCTGTGAATTGCTTAAATAAGGAGACCAATACTGTACCCAGTACTCTGGTCCTGCAGTCTTACCAGCACTCTGTTTAACAAGCATAACCTCCCTATTTTTGAATTAAGCTTCTCTTGAACATTCTATTAGCATTCCTCATTACTTGCTATACTTCGAATGGACCTTGTGACAAGGATCTAGTCTGTATCCCTCCCCCAAACAATCACTTTCCTCAATTTTTGTCCAACAGAAATACTGACTAAAGATGGCTGCCCACTTAATCTCATCAAACACTCCCTGAAGATAACTTTATGTTTCCTGGCAATTTGCAAGTAAATAGTAAATCAGTGATATTGACTTTTTTCTCCCTCAGATGTATGGTATTGATGATTATAATGCTTTAGAATTACCCAACTCCATGTTTACCTCTCCGATGGGTCCCACAGATTCTCCTCTGCAGACACGTGAGTATCATTAGAACGGGTGTTTTACGCTGGGTCTTGAATTAAATAATTTCTACTTTCAATGTTGTTTGTAAAATTGTGAAACTGTGCTTTGGGTCTGATTTTAAGCAGTTTCCATCAAAAATAACATGAACAGATTTTACCATCATTCAGACTGGGTTATTCTAATGAATGGTGTGCTGAGCATATCCTGTGGTACTGAACCCTTTAACGGAGAGCAGAGCTGGGAGGTATTCCCAATGAAAGATTGAATATGGTGCAGCTCTTTGACTCTTTAGTCAGAGGCACAGACAGATGTTGCTGCAGCCAACAGCGAGACGTCAGAATGGTGTGTGGCTTCCCCGGTGCCAGGATCAAGGATATCTTGGAGAGGGTGCAGAATATTCTCAAAGGGGAGAGGGACCAGCAGGAGGTTGTTGTACACAATGGAACTAATGACATAGGAAGAGAGAAGGATGAGACCCTGAGGAGAGAATACAGGAAGTTTGGCAGAAATTTAAAAATGAGATCCTCGAGGGTAGTAATATCTGGATTATTCCCGGTGCCACGAGCTAGTGAGGGTAGGAATAGGAGGATGGAGCAGATGAATGTGTGGCTGAGGAGCTGGTGCAGTCAAGGAGGATTCACATTTTTGGATCATTGCGATCTCCTTTGGAGTAGATGTGACCTGTATAAGAAGGATGGATTGCACCTGATTTGGAAGGGGACTAATATACTGGCGGGGAGATTAGTTAGAGCTGCTCGGAAGGATTTAAACTAGTAGGGAGAGGTGGGGTGGGGTTGGGACCCAGGGAGATAGTGAAGAAAGAGATCAGTCTGAGACTGGCACAGTTGGGAAAAGGAGCAGGTTAAACAGTCAGGGCAGGCAGGAACAAAGCAGAGAATGAGGTTGGACTGATAAATTAAACAGCATTTATTTCAATGCAAGAGGCCTAACAGGTAAGGCAGGTGAACTCGGGGCATGGTTGGGAACATGGGACTGGGATATCATAGCGATTATAGAGACATGGCTCAGGGATGGACAGGACTGGCAACTTCATGTTCCAGGTTATGGATGTTGTAGGAAGGATAGAAAGGGGGAGCAAGAGAGGAGGGGTTTGTGGCGTTTTTGATTAGGGATAACATTATGGCTGTACTTAGGGAGGATATTCCTGGGAATACCTCCAGGGAAGTTATTTAGTTAGAACTGAGAAATAAGAAAAGGATGATCACCTTATTGGGATTGTAGTATAGACCCCCAATAGTCAGCAGGAAATTAAGAAACACATTTGTAAGGAGATCTCTGTTATCTGTAAGAATAATAGGGTGGTTACAGTAGAATTTTCCAAACAAAGACTGGGACTGCCATAGGGTTAAAGGCTTGGATAGAAAGGAATTTGTTAAGTGTATACAAGAAAATTTTCTGATTCAGTGTGTGGATGGACCTACTGGAGAAGGTGCAAAACCTGACCTACTCTTGGGAGATGATGCAGGGCCAGTGACTGAGGTGTCAGTGGGGGAGCACTTTTGGGCCAGTGACCATAATTCTATTAGTTTTAAAATAGTGATGGAAAAGGATAGGCCAGATCTAATAGTTAAAGTTGTAGATTGGAGGAAGGCCATTTTTGACGTTATTAGGCAAGGACGTTCAAAAATTGATTGGGGGCGGATGATTGCAGGTAAAGGGACAGCTGGAAAATGGGAAGCCTTCAGAAGTGTGATAACAAGAGTCCAGGGAGAGCATGTTCCTGTTAGGGTGAAGGGCAAGGCTGGTAAGTGTAGGGAATGCTGAATGACTAGAGAAATTGAGGTTTTGGTTAAGAATAAGAAGGAATCATATGTCAGATATAGACAGCAGGGGTTGAGTGAAACCTGAGAAGAGTATAAAGGCAGTGGGAGTGTCCTTAAGAAGGAAATCAGGAAGTCAAAGGGGACGTGAGATAGCTTTGGCAAATAGGGTTAAGGAGAATCCAAAGGAATTCTACAAATACATTAAGAACAAAAGCTTATGTAGGGAGAGAATAGGGCCCCTTAAAGGTCAGCAAGGCCGCTTTTGTGTGGAACTACAGGAGATGGGGGAGATACTAAACGAATATTGTGTATCAGTGTTTACTGTGGAGAAGGATACGGAAGATATAGAATGTGGGGAAATAAATAGCAACATCTTGAAAAATGTCTGTATTACAGAGGAGGACGTGCTGAATGGCTTAAAGTGCATAAAGGTGGATAAATTCCTGGGACCTGATCAGATGTACCCTAGAACTCTGTGGGAAGCTAGGGAAGTGATTGCTGGGCCCTTTACTGAGATATTTGTATCATCGACAGTCACAGGTGAGGTACTGGAAGGCTGGAGTTTGGCTAACGTGGTGCCACTATTTAAGAAAGGTGGTACGGAAAAGGCAGGGAACTATGAGCCTGACAACGGTGGTAGGCCTATTGTTGGAGGGAATCCTGAGGGACAGGATTTACATGTGTTTGGAAAGGCAAGGACTGATTAGGGATAGTCAACATGGCTTTGTGCATGGGAAATTATGTCTCACTAACTTGATTGAGTTTTTTGAAGAAGTAACGAAGAGGATTGATGAGGCTAGAGCACTGGACATGATCAGTATGGACTTCAGTAAGGCATTTAACAAGTTTCCTCATGGTAGACTGGTTAGCAAGGTTAGATCACATGGAATACAGGGAGAACTAGCCATTTGGATACAGAACTGGCTTGAAGGTAGAAGACAGAGGGTGGTGGTGGAGGGTTGCTTTTCAGACTGGAGACCTGTGGCCAGCGGTGTGCTACAAGGATCGGTGTTGGGTCCACTGCTTTTCATCATTTATATAAATGATTTGAATGTGGATATGGGGGACATGATTAGTAAGTTTGCAGATGACACCAAAATTGGTGGTGTAGTAGACAGAGGAGAAGGTTACCTCAGAGTACAATGGGATCTTGATCAGCTGGGCCAATTTAGATTAATGTGAGGTGCTGCATTTTGGAAAGGCAAATCGGGGCAGGACTTATACACTTAATGGTAGGGTCCTGGGAAGTTGCATTTGGAGGGAATCTTACTGTTTCGCATTAATGATACTGATTTTGTGAAACATTAATCTTTTCATTTACTCTGTTAGACATGAATTAAACATGGAAAGGATTTAAGTTATAACTGCTTCCTGATTTTACAAACATTTCACTAAATATTTCCACTGTGAAAAAACAGATTGAGATTCAGAAAGTGGTGACTCAGTCCTCAAAGTTCCTTAACACATTAGATACAATTTATCTTTCTATATGTTGTACAAGGGAAGGGTTGCTATCGAAAGTCTTGTTAGTTCAGTTTTTTTCACACTGTTTCACTCAACATGTTTTCTCTGTCTGGTTTTCTGCTGTAATTTATAAACCATCTGAATTCACTTCCATTTAACATAGTGTACTGGTAAAAATTGCTCTCTAACTCCTTTCTTCAGAATGAATTTAATGGCTTTACAGTTAGTATAGACAGCAATGTTTTGTTTAAAATACAAATGTAGGAGGCCATTTGTCCCGTCTGTCACTGGGCTAGTTGAAGAGCTGATCTGTAGGATCTATGAGAATTGTGTTGACAGCTAAGCATTCCAAGGCCCAATAATGGAAATCCAAGGGTAGGTAACTACTTCTAGATTTTGCTGTTTCGACGGATAAAGAAATATCTGTGTCAGGAATTGGAAAGAGTTGAATCTACGAGTTCACTTTAGGAAGGATGTGAAAGCTTTAGAGAGGGGAGAATTTTTTTAAAGAGTAATTCCAGTGATGGGGCATTTCAGTTACAGGGATGGACCGGGAGAAGCTGGGACTGTACTCGGTAGAGAAGTAAAAGTTGAGGGAGATTTAATAGAATCATCCAAAATCATGAGAGTCTGTAGAGAGTCCATAGTGAGAAACTGTTTCCATTAGTAGAATGATTCAGAGGACACACATCGAAGGTGATTAGCAAAAGAACCAAAGCTGACCTAACGAAAAACTTATTTTAGTCAGTGACTGGTTAGAGACAGGGATACATTGCCTGATAGTCTGCTGAGAGCAGGGTCAATCACGTTTTATAAAACAAAAATAAATAAGCATCTGAATAGGAAAATTTACAAACTTAAAGACAAGGCTAACGAGTGGAGTTAACCGAGTGGCTCTTGTCAGGAGTCGGCACAGGCTTAAATGAATTAAGTGCCCTCCCTCTGGGCTATACCTGTCTACCATTCTTTGATGGTTTAGATCATCCATATTTTGAGGAAGAGCTGAACTGATGAGCTAAAATTTTGTCCCAACTTGTACCCTCTGTAAACCTCAGCTTATTCAAAATGCAGCTTCCTTGTATGCTAATACAAGCCAGGTACTGCTCCCCATTACCCCAGTGCTCAATAACCTAAGTTGACATTTCTTTCCGTTTTAATTTATTCATGGGATGTGAGCATTGCTGCCTGGGCCAACATTTGTTGCCCTTGAGAAGGTGGGGGTGAGCTGCCTCATTGAACCACTGCAATCCATGTGCTGTAGGTTGACCCACAATGCCCCTGGGGAGGGAATTCCAGGATTTTGACCCAGTGATACTGAAGGAGCGGCGATATATTTCCAAGTCAGGATGGTGAGTGACTTGGAGGGGAACTTGCAGGAGGTGGTGTCCCCATGTATCTGCTGCCCTTGTCCTTCTAGATGGAAGTGGTCGTGGGTTTGGAAGGTGCTGTCTAAGGATCTTTGGTGAATTTCTGCTGTGCATCCTGTAGATAGTACACACTGCTGCTACTGAGCGTCGGTGGTGGAGGGAGTGGAAGCCTGTGGATGTGGTACCAATCAAATGGGCTGCTTTCTCCTGGATGGTGTTAAGCTTTTTGAGTGTTGATGGAACTGCACCCATCCAAGCAAGTGGGGAATACGCCATCACACTCCTGCCTTGTGCTTTGTAAATGATGGACAGGCTTTGGCGTGTCAGGAGGTGAGTTACTCGCCACAGTATTCCCAGCCTCTGAGCTGCTCTTGTAACTGCTGTGTTTATATGGCTAGTCCAGTTGAGTTTCTGTCAATGGAAACCCCAAGGATGTTGATAGTCGAGAATTCAGTAATGGGGATGCCATTGAATGTCAAAGGGTGATAGTTAGATTCTCTTTTGTTGGAGATAGCAATTGTTTGGTACTTGTGTGGCACAAATGTCACTTGCCACTTTTCAGCCTACACCTGGATATTGTCCAGATCTTGCTACATTTGAACATTGACTGCTTTAGTATCTAAGGAATCATGAATGGTGCTGAACATTGTGAAATCATCGGCGAACATCCCCGTTTCTGACCTTACGATGGAGGGAGGGTCATTGATGAAGCAGTTGAAGATGGTTGGGTCTAGGATACTATCCTGAGGAGCTCCTGCAGAGATGTCCTGGAGCTGAGATAACTGACCTCCGACAACTATGATTATCTTTCCTATATGTCAGGTATAACTCCAATCACTGGAGAGTTTTCCCTCCATTCCCACTGACTTTGGTTTTGCTAGGGCTCCTTGATGCCACACTCGGTTGAATGTAGACTTGATGTCAAGGGCTGTCACCCTCATCTCACGTCTGGAATTCAGCTCTTTTGTCCATGTTTGAACCAAGGCTGTAATTAGGTCAGGAGCTGAGTGGCCCTGGCAGAACCCAAATTGGGCATCACTGAGCAGGTTATTGCTGAGCAGATGCTGCTTGATAGTACTATTGATGGCACCTTCCATCACTTTACTGATTATCAAGAGTAGACTGATAGGGTGATAATTGGCCGGGTTGGATTTGTCCTGTTTTTTGAGTACTGGTTATACCTGGGCAATTTTTCACATTATCAAGCTTGATGCCAGTGTTGTAACTGTACTGGAACAGCTTGGGTAGGGAAGAGGCAAGTTCTGGAGCACAAGTCTTCAGTACTATTGCTGGAATGTTGTCAGGGCCCATAGCCTTAGCAGTATCTAGTTCCTTCAAACGTTTCTTGATATCACATAGTGAATTGAATTGGCTGAAGACTGGTATCTGTAATGCTGGGGACCACTGGAGGAGGCTGAGACGGATCATTTACATGCTGAAGATTGTTGGGAATACCTTATGTTTTGCACTGAGGTGCTGGGCTTCTCCATCATGGAGGATGAGGATATTTATGAAGCCTCCTCCTTCAGTGAGTTGTTTAATTGTGCAGCACCATTTGCGAGTGAATGTGGCAGGACTGCAGAGCTTAGATCTGATCTGTTAGTTGTGGGATCACTTAGCTCGGTCTATCATTTGCTACTTATGTGGTTTGCATGTAAGTAATCCTGTTTGGTTTCACCAGGTTGACACCCCATCTTCAGGTATGCCTGGTGCTCCTGGCATGCTCTCCATTGAACCAGGGTTGATTGCTTGGCCTGATGGTAATAGTTGAGTGGGGGATATGCTGGACCATGAGAATATAAATTGTGTCTCATCCATTAAAGACCCCATTTTAATACTTATGCCCTTGTATTTTTGTCCTCCCTGAGTTTGCATTTCTTTCTCTCTATCATTCTCGCAATCTTTCAATTCCAGTGTTTTTGTTTGCTTCTGAATTGCTGATTTCCACTGTTACACCACTGGCGGTTGTGCCTTCAGCTGCCTCGATGCTAATGTCTGGAGTCCCGTCCCAAAGCCCCCCTTAGTAGCCTCTACACAACAAAATGATCCTTAAAATGGAGGTTTTGGTCGCTGATGGTAATACCATCGAATGAGATTCTGTAAAATTTTAATTAAATACAGTGGTGTGAATACAAATCTTGAGCTGTTTTACTGTGTTAAAGGTGTTACATAAATAAAAGTTGTTAGTGCAATAATCAATAGATAATAAACATCAAAATGATGTAAGCTGTACTGCAATATATCAATCACACCTTGTAATGTCAGGAGGAACAAGAGCAGGGGTAGTCAATTTGGCCTCTTGAACCTGCTTCGTTGTCAAACACCAGTTGTCTCTGAGCTGATTATATTGTTCCTCCAATTTTCTGTCTGCCCTTGACTTTTTGTAGATTAAAAATCCATATAACTCAGCCTTGAATACATGACCCAGCCTCCACTGTTCTTTGGGATAGAGAATTTCAAAGATTAGTGACCCTTTGAGGAAAGAAACTCCTCCTCATCTCCATCTTAAAACTGTCTCCCAGTTCTAGGTTCCCACCATTGGAACCATCCTGTCATTATTCACTTGTGAAGACCCCTCGGGATCTTACATCATTCAATAATGTCATTTCTTATTCTTCTAAACTCTAATAGAAATAGCCCGGCCTGCTCAAACTTCTTGAATTATATAACCAATCAAGACATTTGGTCACCTTGCGCATCAGTGAACATTGAGTGTAAGAAATTTGAATGTAAATCATATTTCATGCTGTGACCTTAGTTTAAATGACGTGGCATGAATGATCCTGTAATCCTTGAGGGAAACACCATTTACTGGCTTGAAGTTGAACTGGTTTTTCTGTTTAGCATGAAGAGGGTCAGATTATCAAGTGTATGAAGCAGATTGAATTGGCAGCATTAAGTTGGGTATGGTCTTTGGATGATTTTATGATTTAGTACTTTGAAAGCATGATATGTTGCTTGGTATGATAAATATCTCTAATTAACAAGCAGTTTTTACAACTGTTGGGATTTATGAGAAGGTTTTTTTTTTGCAATCTCAGCCTTACAAGGGAGAATTGTTTCTCCCCCATTGGTGGGTAAGAGAATTTCCAGCAAAAGATCTTCATTCAAATTAGACTCCAACTTGCTTATGAAGTGTATCTTTTGTAAGTGCTGATTTTGCTATTGCAATAATCATTGTACCTTTTCTTCCCAGCTGATGGACCATACCTGCAGATTCTAGAACAACCCAAACAGGTAAGAGAGGGACATTGGCAGCAATGTTTCTTGGACTCAAGATCAAAGCCACATTGCTCATGTTAACATCATCCTGTAGTTCATTAGTCAGGTTCTTTCATTTTATGGAATCTTACAGCACAGAACTGACATCATTTAGCCCACTGTGTCTCTGCCAGACCTTTGAAAGATTCAACAATTATCCCCACTGTTGCCATGATGCCCTCCTTCCAGTCCTGCACGTTTCTCCTAAGCAAGTGTTTATCCAACTCCCTTTATAAAGATATTATTGAATCTGCTTCTACTGTCTTTTCTATTCCAGACCAATATAACTCATTTCATGAAAAAGCAACTTCTGACATTCCCCGTGGATTATCTTTAATCTGTGACATCTGGTGATTTACCCTGTCCACAGTGGAAAACATTTCTCCCTCTCGACTCCATGAAAACTACTTCAATGCTTCTATTAAATCTCCTCCGAGCCCTCTCTGTTCCATGGAGAACAATCCAGGTTCTCCAGTCTCTCTGTGAAGAACCTACCTCCCACAAATCCCCAAGGCTAAAATTGATGAATATTTCAGTTGATGTCAAACCAGAACAAAATGGGATTCCGTTCTGATTTTCAAATCCTTACACGCATCTTGGACGGTCGAAAGCAATTTTTGGAAAGCTGAGGCTGAGTCTGTTTGAACACAAATTTGATGATTGATTATAACTGCCTTTTTTTGAGAGCTTGTAATGTTGATGAATTGATATCATTGGAAAGCAGAATAGTAGTAAAGATGAAATGTATTTGAGATGATCACAGGGAATTAAGTTAGGCAGAGAATACCAGTTGTTGTCAGAGAATTGTACCGAGAGGAAAATGGAGAGTTTTTACAATCTGCAGTGTTCTGCCTGAAAGGTTGGTGTTCAGTTTTAACTTTTAAAAGAAAACTGGATGAATTCTTGAAGACAGTCAGGAGAGAGCAGAGAGAGTGTCTGAAATTGGATCGATCTTCTAAAGAGCAGGTGAGGTACAGTGGGCTAAATGGTCTTCTGTGCTGTTGGATTCTATTCTGTGGATTCTGTAAACTTTTATTTTCAAGGATTAATGAGACATTACTGGAAGAATGTTTATAATTGTGAGGAAGAAGCAAAGAACGTTTTTATTCTAAATCACAGTTGCTGAATAAATAGTGTTTTATTACATAATAGTTCCAATGTTATCCTCATTGACAAACTGCGGGCAGTGGTTAAGGACATATATTTGTAGGTAGACTGGGACCTGGAGTACAGTTACTAAATTTACTTACTCAGGTAGATCTGATGTTTATCCTCAGCTATCATGTGTTGCCTATGAGGCGAGAACCATACCAGGAATGATGGGAGGTCCTTTAGAAACCAACAATTGAAAGAAATTTCTGTAAATTGACAGCAGATATAAATCCCTAAATTGCACTTTTGGAATAGACTAGAATATCGGGATCAGAAGAATCAGTAAGAAATAATCAGGTTGCTTAATACATCTTTCAAACAGATGGATATTTTTGCTGCTTTTCTCTGGATAGAGATTGTCTTCCTTTTGGGCCAATTCATGCAGCTGCCAATTCAGATTCTTGATTTAGAGTGATCACCAAGCTGGATGCTTCTCACTAGAACCAGTGTTCACCTTGATGCTGAAGTGATGGTGGCTGGTTCACTATCACTCGTGGAGTTTTACAATTGGTGGTGATGTTGTTTCCTGTTATTTCATTTGTGTCTGTACCATGTGTTTGTCAGACTGGTGGAAGTGCTTATCTTCAAGGATCCTGAAGAAAAACTATTGAAAAAAGAGAAACAAATTGTTTTCATAAACCTTTTAAAAACAATTTATGAATAGGTTTAAAGAAGAAATTATGTTTTAAAGAGAAGCCAGACCTGTTTAAACAGTACCAACCACAAAATAAACCACACGTCCTCAATATTAACCTTTGCAATGTCAGTAAATGACAGTTTTCTAGACATTGGGTTTGTAATTCTGACAAATATTCATAATAGGAAGGAAGTCAACGTATGTAATAAATGTCAGCATCGAAATGTGTACGTATGCATCTCCAAATGATGATTATCTCAGTCCATTGAAGCTTCCTCTCCAGCATGTTACATAGAATTTTCAGCACAGAAACTTACCTTTCAGTCCGATCATTCATGTAGGCATTGAGGTTCTGCACAAACCACCTCCAATCCTCATTCATAGCCGACAGTTTCATATCCATGTAAATATGTCAACCAAGAGTGAGTGCCCTACTGTTAAATAACAAATTGAATTTATAATCAGGATGAGATCTTAAATCCAGTAAGAAAGATTAAGAAAATTTAACTGTTCCCAAACTCTAATTAGACGAGTGTTTCTATGGGAGGAGTAATGGTTTGTTGATAGTAGGTTAGTGGTAAATGTGAACCAGTCGGTGTGTTGCTTTATAAAATCAAACGTTCTTTATAGGCTTCCAGATGTTATGATCCCAGCCGATGGTAATAATGGAGAAATCACATTCCAACATGAAACCGCACTTGACAAAGCATATGTTTAAAATTTGCAGTTGGTGGCTGCTGTGGTTAGTCACTGCATCATGTTCACTTGAAGATGCAGATGTTCTTTAAAAACAGAACATAAGTTTATTAAATAAAAGAAACAAACAAAGGTGTATATATAAGTTATAAAGATCATGACACAAGCTTCAAATCAAAGTTTCAACCTGTTTTGCAACATTGTTACAGCGACTCAATCGCAGAGAAATATCATCCCTATTTCGGCTTTTTAAATCCGACTCTTTGAAGATTTTAATAATTGTTTGAGTCCACTGGCATGAATTCTGATGATCTAAGTATTTTCAATGCTAACAACTTGAAGATTTTTATCCAAACTCTTCAAAGTTTCACAGACTAGAAACCACTTCTGTTTGAGGTGACTGGTTCACCTGCAAAAAGAAACTAGTCTACCTTCTGAACAAATATTTCAAATCTTTTGTGAAGTCAAACCTGTACCAGTTGCCTTCGTATGTTTGCTCTGCCTGTCATAAATCCAACAGGTGAAATACTTATCCATTAACACCGCAGGGTTCCCCCAGGCACTTGATTACAATCACATATCTTGGAGCTAATACAGTTCAATCACACTTCCAAATGACTTTCTGAATGTTTTAAAAAGATATTTGCAGATCTGTTTAAAATCTATCTGCCACTATTTAGAAAAAGTCTAACTTTCAAAGATGATAACATATTACAAATGGCAGGCAGTGACCATCTCCAATAAGAAACAATTGAACTATCATTTCTTGACATTCAAACATCTGACATCAAATGTAGAGGGAACGCAATGGCCTAATGATGTTATCACTAGACTATTAATCCAGAAACCCTGGTAATTATCCTAACTCTAACCCGGGTTTGAATCTGCCATGGCAGATGGCGAATTTTGATTCAATTAAAAATCTGGAATTAAGATTCTAATGATGACCATATGACCAGGGAAAACCCATCTGGCTCACTGATGCCCTTAAGGGAAAGAAATCTGCCATCCTCATCTGGTCTGACCCAAATGTGACCCCAGGCCTAAAGCAATGTGGTTGACTCCTAACTGCCCTCTAGGCAATTAGGGATGGGCAATAAATGTGAAGAAAAAAATCAGAGTTAACGTTTCAGGTCCGGTGACCCTTCCTCAGAACTCAGTAGGGTCACCGGACCCAAAATGTTAACTCTGATTTTTTCTTCACAGATGCTGCCAGACATACTGAGCTTTTTCCAGCAACTTCTGTTTTTGTTTCTGAGTTACAGCATCCACAGTTCTTTCAGTTTTTATGGGCAATAAATGTTGGCCTAGCCTGTGACATCAAAAAAAATTCAATGATGTTTCCGTCACTGAATACCCCGCTATCAACATCCTGGGGTTATCATTGACCAGAAACTGAAGTGGACTTGTCATATAAACACAGCAGCTACAAGAGCAGGTCAGAGGCTGGGAATTCTGCAAGTTAACTCACCTCCTGACTCCCAAAGCCTGTCCACCATCTACAAGGCACAAGTCAGGAGTTTGATAGAATACTCTCCACTTGCCTGGAATGGGTACAGCTCTAACAATACTCAAGAACTTGAAACCATCCAGTACATAGCAGCCCACTTGATTGGCACCACATCCACAAACATCTGCTGGCTCTACCACTGATGCTCAGTTGCAGCCATGTGTACTATCTACAATGACATGGAGGTGCTGGTGTTGGACTGGGGTGGATGAGGTCAGAAATCAGACGACAACAGGTTTATTTTAAATCACAAGCTTTCAGAGATTAGCCCCTTCACCTGACGAAGGGGCTATGCTCCAAAAGCTTGTGTTTTCAAATAAACCTGTTGGACTGTAACCTGGTGTCTTGTGATTACTATCTACAAGATCCACTACAGAAATTTACCAAAGATCCTCAGACAACACCTTCCAAATTCATGACCACTTGCATCTGGAAGGACAAAGGCTGCAGATATATGGGAACACCACCCCCTGCAAGTTCCCCTCCAAGCCACTCATCATCCTGACTTGGAATTATATCACCGCTCCTTCACTGTCGCTGGGTCAAAATCCTGGAATTCTCTCCCTAAAGACATTATGAATCAACCTACAGCTGCAATGGTTCAAGAAGGCAGCTCACCACCACCTTCAGAGAGCACCTAGGGATGTGCAATAACTGCTGGCCTAGCCAGTGATGCCCACATCCCACAAGTGAATTTTTAAAAAATTGTGTACTTTCCATCAGACACAAAGCTTGTTCATCTTCGAGGTTAATTTGTGATATTGAATCCACTTAATTTATTGAGTTTGCTCCCTGTCATCAAAACTGAACTGATTCTAGATGCATCAGCGACTGACTCTGATATATCAGTTGTGCCTGGTATTTTGAATAAACTTGCTGTCAATGTAGATCCACAACGTTTCCATGGTAACAGAGAAGGTGGCAGGACAAGTTGAAGCTCTTAAGAAAAAATGTGACCTTAGGCTTTATAAACAGTGCCATGAAGTACAGAAACAAGGAGAAAATGCCAGACCTTTACTTAAACCTCACCTGGAGTTGTGTATCCACTTTGCAAAGTGTGTTAAGGCCTTGGAGAAGCTGCAAATGGGACCAGAGATGAGGGGCTTCAGCTGTTCCCTGTCAGCCCTGATTTGAAAGTCTTGATTGATTCTCCATCTTCCAGTCTCTCAGGTGGAGTATTCCAGATCCTAATCACTCACAATTTAAAGGAAATTGCTGGTTCTTTTAGCCTGTTATCTGAAATTGGTGTTTGTCCCTATCTACTCGTTTAGCCCCCTTTTTGATTTTGAACACTTTGAGATGAAATCTCCTGTCAATTCTGTCTGCTTCAGGGATAACATTTGCTAATCCGTTAATGTCACTGAGGTATCTCATCTCTGAAACTCTTATCTGCATCCTTTTTCTAAATCCCCAATGTATCTATTTGAATTGTTTGTAAATGCTCACTGTCCAGTCTGATTTGTCTTTGTAGAGAGGATTTCGTTTCCGTTATGGATGTGAGGGACCATCCCATGGAGGATTACCCGGTGCATCGAGTGAGAAAAACAAGAAATCCTACCCTACTGTGAAGGTTTTTGTTTCTTTATTAAATCTGTTTATTGCAAATGAGAATGTGAGAGAATCTTAACAGTCTGGTTAAATGAGTTTGGCCTGTTCCATTTTCCTTTGTTCAGTATTAAGTGTTTAAAATAAATTGGACTTCTCACAATTTCAGATCTGTACATTCTGAACGATCTAAACCACAGGATCTCTAGTTAATGATTTCAAATGCATCTGGACATTTTAAATAAATTTTCAGGGTATTTCTGTGGATTTTTGTCAGTTCAGCAAATGAGTTGGCAGACGGTGGGTGGAATTCTGACTGTAGTATTTATATTTAGAATGTATTCAAATCTTACTTTATACTTAATTAGATATTTGTGTGGGCTCGGGAGGGTTAGAGTTTGTAACGGTGAAAAATCTGTGAACAGGAAGTAACCTGGTGCTTAAAATAATGTCACAGGAAATTTACATCTAAGGCGTAATGTTAATATTTTGGCCTTGAGTTCTGTGGTGTAAATATAATGTTAAATATGTACAGATTTTAGCTGTAGTTCTGCTTCCCTCATTCCCACTAATTGTAATAACAATCCAGAGAAGATTAATTCCTTCCCCAAATGTGAAAGAGAAACCTAGATGTCATCGCTAGGTACATCTGAAATCTTTGCTGAACCAAAAGGAATCTTTCTTCAATTTAAAGCATGTTTTGTAGGTCAGTTCAACATCTGGCTTCTTTATACAATCAATGTCGAGCTGAAAATGGGAAGCTAAAATGGGAACAAAACTTCTGCTGAAATTTAAAATGTTAAAATATCAATGTCAGAGGAAACAGAAATCCCAAGAGGGAACTGCAATCTATACAGTTCCTCTAACCTGTTCAGTTCTGTTTTTGTACCTCATCTCAACTTCAATTTGTATTAATATATCATATTTAATGTAATTAGACTGAAGTAACAGTCTTTCATATATCTGAAGATTAGCAACTGTCACAGGTTCTTTGCCTTTACTCTGGCTAGCACAGACAGCTCATACTGAGGCTGAAGAAACTCCAGAGTGCTATTACATTAAACACGGAGTTTGGATGAGAAAGTGGAGATGCCCTCATAGCATATGCAGATGGAGATTGGATGGTTGTTTAAATAATGGTGTTGCCCCCATATTGGGAGTAGCACTTGAAATTCCTATGGCAGGGCATACAGGAATATGGAAAATATAGGCATCAATAAACAGGTTTATTACATGGCTAATATTTCATAAAGACAGAATGCAGTACTTTAAAATGTGTCACATGTTTGTTGGTAGGAAAGCCTAAATGTGTAATTAAACCAGTGCCTTTGATACCTGAACAAGTTTATGAGGAACTGTTTAGTTGAGTATTAATGGATTGTGTATGATCATCGCTGAAAACAAAATTAGCACATCAGAATAATCTTACAATTATGAATATGACAACTTGGTGTATTTTTCCCCCAGTTTTTGTTGTTTGTGTATATCGGGGGGTTTTAGAAGGGCGTTGGAGTTTTAACTAGTAGAAGTACATGTTGAAAATTCATAGTTGTTTACCTCTGACAAGAAGCTTTAATACCCAAATGAGGAAGTATTTGAGATGATTTACAGTCATAGAGTTAGAGTAATACAGCATAAAAGCACGCCCTTTGGTCCAAACTGGTCCATGCTGACCATGGTGCCCACGCAGCTAGTTCCCATTGCCCGCATTTAGTCCATCTCCCTCTAAACCCTTCCCATCCATGTAGCTATCCAAATGTTTTTTAAATGTTGCTATTGTACCTGCCTCAACCACGTTCTCTGGCAGCCCATTCCATATACGCACCATTCTCTGCGTGAAGAAGCTGCCCCTCAGGTCCTTCTTAAATCTTTCCCCTCTCACCTTAAACCTATGCCCTCTAGTTTTCAATTTCCCATCCCTGGGAAAGAGACTATATGCATTTGTCTTATCAATGCCTCTCATGATTTAATACACCACAATTAGGTCACCCCTCATTCTCCTACATTCCAAGGAATAAAGTCCTATCCTGGCCAACCTCTCCTTATAACTCAGGTCTACTAGTCCTGGCAACATCCTTGTAAATCTTCTTTGCACTCTTTCTAGTTTAACTACATCTTTCCTATAAGGGTGACCAAATCTGTACACAATACTCCAAGTGCAGCCTTACCAGCGACTTATACAACTGTAACATAACATTCCTATATTCAGTGCCTCAACTGATGAAGGTCAGCATGCTCAATGCCTTCTTCACGACTCTGTCCACCTATGATGTTGCTTTCAATGAACTGCGTACTTGTATTCCTATGTCCCTCTGGCCCCCAACACTTCTCAGGACCTTACCATTTACTGTATAAGTCCTTTCCAAAGACTTTCCAAAGTGCAACACCTCACACTTATCTGTATTGAATTGCATTTGTCAATCCTCAGTCCACTTCCCCATCTGATCAAGATCCCATCTGTAATTTTTGATAACCTTCCTCGCTATCAACGATACCTCCTAATTTTGTATCATCCACAAACTTACTAATCATGCCTCGTACATTTACATCCAGGTCATTTATGTCAGTAACAAATAACAAAGGCCCCAGCACCAACCCCTGTGGTACACCACTAGTCACAGGCCTCCAATCTGAGAAACAACCTTCAACCATCACCTTCTGCTTCCTACCATCAAGCTAATTTTGAATCTAATTAGTCAGCTCTCCCTGGATCCCATGCAACCTAACTTTCATGACTAGCTTACCATGCGGGATCTTGTCAAAGGCCTTACTAAAGTCCATATAGACAACATCCACTGCCCTGCCCTCATCCAACCTCTTGGTTACTTCTTCAAAAAACTCTAAGGGATTTGTCAGACATAACTTCCCACGCACAAATCCGTGCTGACTATCCCTAATCAGACCTGGATTATCCAAATGTTGGTTGAATCTGTCCCTCAATATCCTCTCCAATAACTTGCCTACCACTGATGTCAGGCTCACTGGCCTGTAGGTCCCTGGCTTGTCTTTGCTACCTTCCTTAAACAATGGAACAACATCAAGCACCCTCCAGGCTTCTGGAACTTCACCAGTGGCTAAAGATGAAGCAAAAATCTCTGCAAGGGCCTCTGCAGTTTCGTCCCTGGCGTCCCACAGCATCAGAGGATGGACTTGATCAGGCCCAGGGGATTTATCCTCCTTAATGCACTTTAAGGCTGCAAACACTTCCCCTCTGGTAATATGTATGCAGTCCAAAACATCCCCACTTGTTACCCTCATTTCCTTAACATCCATGATTCTCTCCTCGGTAAACACTGGTAAACACTCGGTAAAATCTCTCCCATTTCCTGTGGCTCCACACGTAGACAGCCTTGCTGATCTTTAAGGGGACCTATTCTCTCCCTAGCCACCCTCTTACTCTTAATATAGCTGTAGAACCTAACCAGCCAGATTCATCTCGTACCCTCTTTTTGCTCTTCTGATTTCCCTCTTAAGTGTGCTCCTACACTTGTTATAGTCATTAGGGATTAATTTGAGCCCGATAGCTTAAATCCAATGTATGCCTTCTTCTTTTTTGTGACCAGAGCCTCGTCAACCAAAGATCCCTAAACTGCCAGCTTTTCCCTTCACCCTAACAGGGTCATACTGTCTCTGGACTCTTGATACCACAGTTTTAAAAGCCTCCCATTTGCCAGTCATTCGTTTTCCTTCAAGTAGACTCACCCAGTCGACCTCTGCTAGATCCTGCTGAATGTCCCCAAAATTGGCCCTGCTCCTGTTCAGCCCCTTAATCTGGGGACCTGTCCTATCTTTTTCCATAACTATGTTAAAACTAAGAGAGTTATGGTCACTGGAGCCAAAGTGCTCTCTGACTGACACTTCAGTCACTTGCCTGGCCTTGTTTCCTAAGAGGAGGTCCAGTGTTGCATCCTCCCGAGTAGGGCCCTCTACATATTGATTTAGGAAACTTTCTTGGACACATCTGACAAATTCCACGTCGTCTGGGTGGCCAAGTCAATACAGGGGAAATTAAAATCTCCAAGCAATACTGCTCTATTATTACTACAGGTATCTGCAATCTCTCTACATGTCTGCTTCTCTACTACCTGCTGGCTATTTGTGGGTGTATAATACAGTCCCAACAGAGTGACCACCCCCTTCTTGTGTCTAAGTTCTAACCATATGGCCTCATTTGATGGCTCCTTAACAATATCCTCTCTAAGCACTGTTGTTATGTCCTCCCTTATCAAAAGGGCAACTCCCCCTTCTCGCTTACTTATACTTCTGTCATACCTGTAGCTTCTGTATCCTGGAACATTGAGCTGCCAGTCCTGCCCTTCTCTCAGCCATGTTTCTGTTATGGCTATAATATCCCAGTCCCCAGAGCCAATTCATTCTCTGAGCTCACCTGCTTTACCAGTCAGGCCTCATGCATTGAAATAAATGCACTTTAAACCAGAAATCTTTTCCCTCCCTTTACTGTGCCCCTGGCTATCCTGTATAGTAAACTTGCTCTCGATGGTTAATGTATTTTCCCCTGACTTCTCGATGGCCCCTCTCTTATTCCCACCCCTATTCCAAACCAGTTTAAACTCTTCCGGGTAATACTAGCAAATCTCCCCGCAAGGATATTGGACCCCCTCCGGTTGAAGTGCAACCCATCCCTCTTGTACAGGTCATCTCTACCCCAAAAGAGATCCCAATGATCCAAGAACTGAAAAGTCTGCCCCCTACACCAGCTCCTCAGCCACGCATTCATCTGGCCTATCTTTCTATTTCTATCCTCACTGGTTTGTGGCACTGGGAGTAATCTGGAGATCACTACCCTTGAGGTCCTACTTTTTAACTTGTTACCTAACTCCCTGTACTCATTTCACAGGACCCCATCCCTTTGTCTGCCTTTGTCATTTGTACCAATGTGCACAATGACCTCTGGCAGTTCATCCCCTTCAGAATGTTCTGTAACCACTTAGAGACATCCTTGACCCTGGCACCCGGAGACAACACACCATCCTGGTGTCCCTTCTGCAGCCACAGAATCTCCTG